AGATCGTTTTATCTTCCGTAGCTCGTTCCACAGTTTCAGCAAACGTTCGGCTCATTCAGATCGTTTTATCTTCCGTAGCTCGTTCCACAGTTTCGGCAAACGTTCGGCTCATTCAGACGCTCCTGCTCTGTTGGCATCTGTGTAAATTTACTTTGTCGGCCATGTTTTCTTCAATGAAAAGGAACGGCGCTCTCCACTTCCTATCAAACTCTTTGTGCCGTTTCTTTTACTGCTCATTTCAGCTTTTTTCAGCTGCCTACTGCTAAATACATCTGTTCAGCTGTTTTTAATATTCCTCTGCTACTTTTAGTTGTTTTTTTATTGCAAACTAGTTTTGTGTCTTCCTCATGTCAACTTTTATGCTCCTGTCAGACTGTTTATGCTAATTTCAGCTACTTTTCTGTAGATGTAAACTTTTAGATATTTTCAGCTAATTGAAGCTTTTTTGGTAACTTTTCTGCATCTTTCAGCTTTCTGCTAATTTTAGCTTTTTGTGCTTCTTTTGGCATTTTTTTTTACTACTTTGACATTTATACACTTTTCAGTGTTTATGCTAAAAGGGGCAGTTTGATACTTTTAGCTGCTTTCTGAAAGTTTCAGCTGTTTTGGGCCTTTTTCTGTTGGACAGAATTAAGACAATTAATCACCATTAACTTCACGCAGACTCTCCCACTGGTACATTTTCATCTTTAAATCACTTCTTGGTCTGCTGCCTTCATACATCTCCTCCTACATGTCTCTGTGTGAGTGCAGCTACAGCGTGCGCTCTCAGGACATCATTACCTGCAGTGTTCCCTCAGTGAGGACTGAACTAGACAAAAGGACCTTCTCCTACTCCGCTCCTGTTTCCTGGAATATCTTGTAAAAAGATCTGAAGCTCTCGACCTTTGACCTCTCTTCAAACATCTGATAAGTTCATGCAGATGTTCCTGTTTTAGTTTTATACCTCGCCTCATGATGTAGCGCTTTTTTAAAATAATTTCTTCCATTTAATTTTCATTTATATGATTATCGTCTGTTCCTCGTGTGTCTTTGTTTAAATCCGGTCTCTCTGTAAACGAGTCCTTGAGGCTCAGTGAGACCAACCTGTAGAAATAAAGCCTGAATAACAAAAACGTACATTTCTTGCGCGGCTTTCAGTTTTTTCTCCACGTTTCTGTTCTTCCTGCTACTTTTGTTTCTTGCAGCAAAGCTCCGTCAAGGATAATAAAAAAGGATTTTCACAGAACTCCAGTTCAGAATGTTCTCAGTCCTCTGGCGTGTCCAAGTAAAATGCTGGTTTTCAATGAATTTGAAACGTTAGTTTTTATTTAAAGACACCGAGGGCCAGATGGAAATCACACAAAGGCCATTTCTTGCCCTCAGGCTGCACGTCGTCCATATTTAGTCCGAGGAGCTCTGTCATGATGAGGTTTAAATGAACCAAAACTTAAATCATGATTCTGTTTACCGGTATATAATAAAATGTATTCAACGCTCGTCGTGTGAGCACTCAAACAATTAGAGAAAGCATCTGAAGTATTCTAAACAAACTCTTTACGGCCCGTGCCGGACCAGAGAAGACAACAGAACGTCCACAGAAGACTGAAATTTATTAGCCTACAGTTTGCGTGAAGAACATTTGTGAAGGACTCAGGTCATACCGCGCGTTTGGCAAATGACGGAAAGCAGCTATGAACTAAAAAAAGAAGCCAAGTGAGTGGCCAAGTCCGCAGCTTTGTATGTACAGTGAATAAAATAGGTATAAAATGATTCCATGTGTACATTTGGCCAGGTCGTTGCTGTTTCAGTGAAAGTGCATATTTGGTCTTCACTTCTTGACTTCACCCAGATCATCGATGTTGTCGTCGTCCACCTACAGAGCAAACACAAACACGTCTTGGTTTTTATGTCCACAGAGAAACACGACTAAAAACTTAAATATTCCCGACAATCATCCAACACTTTTCAAACACTAAATAAATTATGTACCGGTCATTGAGACATTCTAAATGTAATTTTAGATTAAAACAAACTTTTTTCAACTTTCCAAACCAAAAGCTCAGAACCTAAGTTACACTGTAAATTCTCACACACAAGACGTGCACACACCAGATCATTTGCTGTTTGCCCAAGAATCCAAATTTAAACCGACTGACATCAGCAGGGCAGATATTTTGGGCCGACAGTCGTTTGGGGACGTATCAATATCGGTGATAATTGACCAATCATTCTCTGATATAAGCATTTACCATTTTCAGCCCTAAAATGCAGGAACCAGCTGTTATTGTACAAAGTATCCAGCAGAGGGCGCGTGAAGACAACTTTCAAGGCATGGATATTCACTTAAGTTTCACTTTCAGCTCAGCCGAAGCAGGAGCAACACTGTGTAGAGTATTTTACTAACCAGAGCATGGTGAGTTTATTTGAACTGATCTGTAAAATAAATCAACAACAATAAATTCTCTTGAATCCTCCAACCTGCTCGTCATGAGCTACGTGCCTCTCAAGTTAGCAAGCTAACGGTTAGATAACCTAGCATAGGCTACTGTCTGTAAAACTTTATCCAGAACAACAAATCTAACGTAGAGATAAAATATATCAGAGTTAGTAACGTTATCTTTGTTGTCCTCGATGAAATGCACTGTTTGTCTGAAAACTTTACTTCTCTACAAAGAAAAATAAACTCTGCTGCGGTCAATGCTAATTAGACCTTCACCGTACGTGACTGTTTGAACAATGAACAGGAAGGTGTTTCTTTGTTTAATTTATATTTTTATAACACTTGATAACTTCATGGTGAATAGTGGAGGACAGAACATGTGAGCGCACGTTAGGAAGAGACGGTTTCAAGACTTCAAGTGTTAAAACTGGTTTAAAAGTATCTTAGATTGTTGGGAGTGGACAAAGATCTAAAGTTTTCATCCAGTTAGTCAGTTGTCGGCATTGCTCTCCCAAAAATCGGTACCGGTGATAATCTGTCCACATCAGTCGGGCTCTTGTCGTAGAACGGTATTTGTCTCCAGGCCAAAACATTCGGCAGCTGAAAGTAACTTCACAGCCCAGACCAACAACAACTCCACCTTTACCTTCGTGCGTTATTTCTCTTGAACGGAGTGGAAAGTTGGAACATTGTTGGTAAAATGGACTTTTCAATGAAGGATCAGAGTTCGTTCACAGCGTTTTATTGTATCAGAGGTGCGTCGTCCTCCACGCTCACGTCACGATCGGTGTTGTAGCAAAAAGTGTTGAGGCCCCGAGGGAGCGCCCGCAGTCTGTTCCTGCTCAGACTCAAACTATACTAAAAACTAAATATGTATATCTGTTTGGATCATAACGAACACTCTGTTGTACTTTGGTTCTTTTCTTCAGAACTCTGTGAAAGTTTGAGGTTATATGCAACATATATTAACATATATTAAATATTTATTTGGTTTATTTGGAATAATAGTTGGGCAGCATGGTGGCGCAGCTGGCAGAGCTGCTGCCTCTCAGCAAGCAGGTCCCTGGTTCAAATCCTGGTCCAGGGGTCTTTCTGGGAGGAGTTTGCATGTTCTCTCCGTGCATGCGTGGGTTTTCTCCAGTTACTCCGGTTTCCTCCCACAGACCAAAAACATGCATGTTGGACTGATTGGTAACTCTAAATTGTCCTTAGGTGAGAGAGAGAATGTTTGTTTGTCTCGTTTGTCTCTATGTGTCCCTGTGATGGACTGGAGACCCGTCTAGGGTGTCCCTGTGACGGACTGGAGACCCGTCCAGGGTGTCCCTGTGACGGACTGGAGACCCGTCCAGGGTGTCCCCGTGACGGACTGGAGACCCGTCCAGGGTGTCCCCGTGACGGACTGGAGACCCGTCCAGGGTGTCCCCGTGATGGACTGGAGACCCGTCCAGGGTGTCCCCCGCCCCTCGCACAGTAATTGCTGGACATGAGCACCAGTGACCCTCGTGACACAAACTGGAAGAAGCGGGTAAAGATGATGGATGGAACAAGTTTTACCTCAGGCCACTTCTCTTGGATGACGTCGATGATGTCGTCTGTGAAATCTCCCTGAATGATTATTTCATCTTCTGCAGTAACGGAGGCACCACAAGAGAACTTCTGAGCAAAGAACCGCTGAGCCTCTTTAAGCTCAATATCTGCAGGAGTGAAGGAGAACGTTGAGAAGGAAGCACCAGACATCCTGAAGGTTCAGACTAACGCTGATAAAATCTCACCGAATGTCGCCAGGCCACAAACCCGTGTGACGTATTTCTTCTTGGCTCTTGGTATTTTTGCTATCGTCACCTTCTGAGGCACAGTCTTCTTCTTCTGCTTGATCTGGCCTCGGCCACCTGAAGGATTAAATGAGTTTTACAGACGGGAACCAGCTGCTCACTCATTAAACACAAACGTTAGAACCGTTACCTTCAATTTAAACTTTGAAATTCATAATTAAATTCACAAAGGTTGAAGTTACTGTTCAGGTCTGAGCTGCAGTGAACATGAAGCAGGGGAGCACCCGCCCTGTCAACAGAACCCCCCGACCCACAGGAGTGGCTTCGACCTAGCATTAGCAACATAACCCCCCCCAATAATTCTCGACCGACTTGGATCCTTGAGTTCTTCTGAAAACCTGCCTCTCTTCTGCTTCTTCTTCTCCTCCTCCTCGCCTGCAGGTGGAGGTTCTCCAGAGACAGAGTCCTGCTTCGGTGCGTTTGCTGCTGGATGAGACAGAAAACAACTAAATATTAAAACCGTGTCCTCAGAGAACCTGTGCACGTCACGTTCACGAGGTAAACGATGAGAAGGCTGCACGGTGGAACACGTTGGAACATCATGAGACGCTGCAGCAGCAACTCCTTCAGCCCTGGTGAGAAAAAGCAGACAGACCCCGATATCAGCCCTGCTGAACGCCACCAACACGTCAGGAGTGGCTCCAGTGCTTCCTGACACAGGCTGTGACCCACCAGCTGTTTGAGAGTTAAAAAAACGACCAACGAACATCTGGCAAAGATCTGACACATCTGTATGCTGCCTGTACCTTGGATCAGAGATTCAAACACTGAAGAACGTCAGGAGCTCCAACAGTTTCATCTCATTATACAAAAACTTTACACGATTCGTCTTCAACAGGTTGGAGGCGCCGCCACCACTAAATGGAACAAGTCGGTTCCTCATGGCGCTCCCATCATGGACAGACTGTCTGCATGTCCAATTCCCTCGTCTCGCTCCACCGTGGGGGACAAAATAAATCCTCAGTTATCCCTGAACCTCTCAGCTGCTCTCTGAGACACTTACCTACAGTCATCCTGGCAAACACATCTGGAAAGTTCTTCTCGAGCCACTGCCTACATTTGGCCGGCTCCGGCATGTACTCACAGTACTGCAAAGAAGAAGCACAGCCGATCAACCGCTGCACCTCAGTGCTGTCCTCCATCATGTGTGACGGGCCAACTCACCTCTGTGGGCAGGGAACACACTGCGGAGAAGAGAACACTTAGACATGCAGCCACACCCAGGACACGTTCACACGTGCACAATCAAACTGTACCTCCACAATAAAGGACTTTGAGCGGATACTTTGAGTCCGGGTCAGCTGGTCCCTGCTCCGCCTTGATTTCTGAACACCCAGAGTCCATCTCAGTAGTAGCCATCACCAACGATCTAACAACCAAAGGCAAACAAACGGTCAAAAATACAAAGATTTACTTTACACAAAGTTACACTTTCTCCAAACTTCAGATATCAGGTGATTTGAATTGGGATATGCACAACAGAACTACAAATCCATCCATCCATCATCTTCCTCTTGTTCTGGACTCAGGTGTCGGGGGCAGCATCTGGAGCAGGGAGGTCCACACATCTCTCTCCACAGCCTCTTCCAGGAGGACTCCAAGGAGTTCCCAGACCAACAGACAGACATAGTGTCTCCAACGTGTCCGGGGTCTCCTCCCAGTCAGACATGCCTGGACCACCTCAACCGTCTCCTCTGGATGTGGAGGAGCAGTGGTTCTCCTCTGAGTCTCTCCTGATAACTGAACTTCTCCCCCGTCTCTGAGGGAGAGTCCAGCTCTGCAGAGGAAACTCACTTCAACCTCCTGGATCCACGATCTCATTCTTTCAGTCTCTACCAGAGTTCACGACCAGAGGTGAGGGGAGGAACGTAGACCGACCAGTAAACAGAGAGCTTTGTCTTACAGCTCAGCTCCACTTCACCACAATGGACCGGCACAGAGTCCACAATACTGCAGACACTGCACCGATCCATCTGTCAGTCTCACGCTCCGTTCTTTCCTCGTTCATGAACAAACCCAGATACTTGGACTCCTCCACTGGAGGCAGAACCTCTCCCTTCCCTCATCAGTTTTTAAACAATTTTAAAAACCTCGAAGAACAACCGTTCTTCCACGACCTTGTATCAGGACCATCTCAACTGTTTGAAGCAAAAGTGTAAAGAGGAGCAGTTCAGTAAAGATGACTTCAGTTTGGAGTTTAGTCTGGAATGATCTGGACCTCTGGTGTTGGTTCTGTTTGGGTGGTCAACCAGTACGGACCCGTCTGCAGTCATTGTGCTTTTAAAATACAAAACTGAAATGTTACTTCTAGTTTTGTTTTCTGGTTTCCATTTACTTGTTTCTTTATAAAACGATCTGTTTTTACTGAGTCGACCTGAATCTTGCAGCGAACAGTGAACGGTGCTGGTTGGGTCAGTTCTGTTTGGATTATCGCTGAGCGTCAGAAAGAGATGACGTTCCTTTTCTTGACAGATTTGCTGAAGAGAATTTGCAGTCGGATTTATTTTGTCGCCTCCGTTTCTTTACGACTCTGCACCCCCGACGTTTCTCCTCTTCGTCACCCGACTGCTCAGCGGAGAGGTCCAAGTCATGCTGTGGTACCCAACACTTTTACACACACAGTACCTGAAGAAATACCCAGTACTGTATCGGTGCAGCCATCAATTTTTATTTCCAGAAAGTTTAATTAAAAACCGTTAAGTGCTTCATGAGATAATTTTGCTAACAGATGATCTTTACTGCAACAGATGCCTTCAGAGTAGGTGTTAGGGATTAGTCTCAGCAACCACCACCAAATTATCAATATTTGTAAAAGCCATGTTGAATTGGTGTGTGGGGGGCATTGCTAACAGACACGGTTGTTACCAACAGTTAATGATAAAGTTTTAAGCACATCTATTGACCTTTTCAGCTCTGTGTTTCCTCTAACCATTATCCAAGAGGGGCGTCCAGCAGGGCGGGGCCTGCGGTCTGATCCAGGTGAGCCCACAGCAGAGAGACTGCAGGTGAGAGCACCCCCGACTGAATACTGACATGGAATGAAACATCTGTGCATTCAACGTGGACTCCAAAAGTCACACAGCTGGAGATGTGCAGACAAATGAGCACAAACACCAGACAAGACCAAAACATTATTCTGTTTATGGAGGCGAGCAATAAAACATTCTGCTCAGGTTCATGATCACTGAAACAGATCACCAGAGCTTATTTTTCTAACAAACACATATGATTTAAGAAGCATCCACCGATCCTGAAAATGATCTGATGCTACTCAGGTCTAAAGACTCGAGACTTGGAAAACCCACAGAGGACTTTAAAGCCCCTAAATGTTTAACAGGACATGCTGATTCAAGCTGCTGGCAGCGAGTTCATAACTGCAGGACATGTTGTCCTCATGTCCTGTGTCCTATGAGACATCTCCAGGGTCCAATTACTGTCCAGCACAGCTAACACATGGTGGGTGCGCTGGAACCAGGCCACTTTGCTCCCACTAGATCTACAACTCAACATTAAATTATAAGATTTTATAGATACGGCTTCCGACTAAACTCATCTAAAATACCCCCCCCCCCCC